GTTCTTAAATAAAATTTTCGAATGTTCAATATAGATCAAAATGTCTAAATATAACCATGAACGGTGTTCGCTTTAGTGATCAACTATCTCTTTCAGCATTTTCATGTACTAACGAAATCTTGTTTAACCAAAAAAGTCCGTGAAAGAAATCATCATTATGAGAAAATTCTATGAACAAGTACTGCACTGATCGTAAAAATTGAATGGTTTTTGACATGTACCATTTCATAACAATACCACAACATACTTCTAAGCCGATGGATCACAATTCAAACATTACAGATTGAATATTGTCTCTTTCTAGTGACTTCTAGCCTGACTGCATAGATACTAATGCCTCATACTATACATTATTCGCTAATATATATTTATATAACTTTGTTATATTATTATATTATCAGAATTTAATGTATATATAAACTGTTGATAATACAATCTAAATATTCAGTCGTAAAACTATTGCCAAATATAATTGCTGTCAGGTTGCGATAGAATCTCACTGAAAATATGGGATCAACGGTATAGAAAGTGTCATATTTTCTTAGCAAAACATTGTGAAATCTGCAAGAAAACGAAACTCGCGGTGTTTCAAGTCACTTGGATATTGAAATTGTGGTTGATTAAAACACTGTCTCGTGGTTGGCTAGTTTGAACAATTTAATCCATTATTCGTTGTGACTAGATGGAAAACGTCGGTTGATTTTTCTTGATAAAAATTTAAAAAGTGATAAAAGTGACTATCGTGTTTTTGTTGGTCGAAGGTATAATTTATGCAAATTAGTGATCACCTCTAATGAAGGATGACATCCGTATGCTGATGAATGTTATGAAGCCCATACAAGTGGTTCTACTGGTCCACAGTGTTTGGCTATAGGTCAATTTTCATGACTTTCTGGAGACTATATATTATATTCTGTGATGTTTTCTGAAGCAGTTGGCCACATCTTTAGCTCAAATTATTTCGAAATTCAAACTTTTCAAGGATTGTGACTGTAACGATACTAGTCTTAAGGTGATACACAGGCATGACGACTTGATTCGGAGTATTTGTTGCTCCATATAAAGTTCAGTTGTGAATGTGCCAGACTGTTCTGTTTCTATCATTCACACCACGCGTATACGGTTTATGCTTTAAACTGATCGCGCTTCTACGTTTTCTTGGCATCGATCACCAAGAGACGTCATACAATATGAATTCGCTCAATATATAACAGTAGTTAGTCTTATCACTAATTTGTGACTGATAGAATAGCTTCCTTCATAAAGTTAATTCTTATCATCGCTTAACCTTGTAGCGTAGCGTCGGTTCGCGGTTGTCTGTGATCACCACTACAAGAAGCTTTCGTACCAGATATCAGCGAGATATATTTGTTGACGATCTCGTGGTATTGAAAGAATACTGAGATCGTGCCAAAAGAGTACAAGCGGAATAACTGAGCAAACTTAAGCGCGTGTAAAGTCACAATCTAACGGAGGAATGTCTTTAGCACAGCCGAACAAACAAGTACAGTAAAACAATCACTGGTACAAGTGGTTATAATAATTATTGTTTCCATTGGACCAGTCGAGTTCTCTTGATAAAAGTAGGTCACTACAGCCTTTTGCTAATAAAGTGCTTATTACATCTGCATTTGTTAGTCTGCTAACGGTTCGTTTGAGTTTGTACAACTTTCGAAAGAGTAATGTGAGTAGGGAATTTCCTTTATTCCAACTGTCGATGGGACAATGATATAAATGTTAGCAGTGATTTGCTGAATAATACGTTTGAATGGTCTTAGAAAAAGTAGCGTAATCGGTGTGAGGACTGAACACGACAACCCAATAAAGTATGTTGAAGGCAGTAAAGCCTGTCATGAGGAACTAAAAGCTAGGCTATTGGACGGTTGGAGGCTATTAAGTCGATTTGTATGTCCGGAGATATTGAAGTTTGTAGTTGCAAACTGCAAGTCGTGTTTACTTGTATTCTTTTTACTCATGTACGCGTTCATTTTGGTTTCCTCATTGTAAGACTGGTATCGAACAAACTAGAAACAGAACTGCCTTAATGAAGATAAAGTGCTTGGACTCAAGTTTGCTATGCGCTATGTGTAGAGTCTAAACTTCGGTTTGGACAGATGAATAGCCGTCCAGGTACGTTAGAGACGCGCCCTTGTCCGTCAAAATCAAAACAAGTAATTGCGTAAATAGCGGTTCTAAACAGATATGAACACCCGGCTGTTCAACCAATAATTGTTCAATCAATCAAATCAGTCACAACAAATGAACGCTATTTTATCCTGACTGGATAGAGCACACACAACAGGAGGAGCAAATCAATATGGCTTCCGCCAAGAACAAGTGTCAAGTAAAACAACATAAATGCAGTTCGGAGAGAAATACAAAACTTAGTGAAGGCGTAAGAAAAACAAAAACTATAATAAAAAATACAAATATTAACAATTCGAATGTAATCAAAAAACTAACAATGTACAACTAAGGGGATCATTAGGAACAAAGTGCAAATATATACATGGAGGGATTTTTGCACACACCAAACATTCAAAACGGATCTTACACTATGAGGTAGGACATTGACACTTTTGACCTTCATTTAACCACACTTGAAACTGTAGGTGTGATTTTCGCTATGTAATCAGCAATGTAAATCAGATTATGCCTTTAACAACCCAAATGCTATATGAACAGTAGGCCTTGTCAACTGACTGCTTGTTGGTGTTGTGTGATAAAGGACTGTGTGAAGATCAGTCACTCTTTTTTTAGCTTCAACTAGCGCTGTGTCAGCTGGTATTCTGTATTCTAAAGAAAAATGTTCAGCTACATTATTATAGCCATTATATTATTATCTGTCATCAATGCATTAGTGACCAATATTCCAAATGATTAACAAAGATATTAAAAATGTAAGCCTTTGAATCATTAACCAAAGCATGAAAAATCGCAAATACATTGTTCATTATGATTAACCCACCATATGCTAACGTCCAATGAACTGGTCAAGCAAAAATGTAACACCTTCAAAGTGGAAAATAGACAACAGACAAATTGGCGTTAATTTCCTTTTCAGATAAGACCATTGATAAGGTTTTTCTATGAAACTAAGTAGTAAAAATACTTCAAAAACCAGTGAAATAATTCATGAATAGCAGCTACAAGAGAACGTGAAACTTGGCATACATTATGTAGCGTGGTGTCGGACCAGAAACGCTGCAGAAGTAGGACGAAACCACGTTGAGCCAAAAGACTAGAAGCGACCGTAACGACCAAGTTCGAGACCAGGCGTATGCCAAGCATTCGAAACCAATATATCGACTGAGAACGTTGACAAGAGCATGGCTGATCAGGCCAGCTTTCGCCAAAGTTGACTGAAGTCGACGGTACCAAACGGAGATGGTCGAAGGCATGGGCTCAGGAAACAAAAAGAAAATCAAAAAAGAGAAGAGTGTAGCATGCAAGTAGCATAGGAATATTCCTACACCGTATCGGTTGTCGACTGTGCGACTAGTCGAGGAAGCGTACGGGTAACCGTACTCGGCGACCGGAACGTGAGACGATAGTCTCGTTTGCGTCGCGTGAGCCTGCAATCTCATCCGAAGTCAAGGGCGGCGTGGTCTGCTGGTCTGGACGTGAGACTGTCGTCTCATCCGTAGACGGTGCAGATGACGCGTGCTGTTGACTGGGACGTGAGAATGAGGTCTCAAATGTATCTAGCGTGGGACCTGAAGATGGTTTGAGGATCCCGCTAATAGGTTTGCTTGGTCTAGCATTGAATCCCAGGTTATCAGATAGGACACTGTCATCGACGTGTGCTGGTTTGAGACGATCAATGCTGACGATCTCGACGCGGCCATGTCGATCAACCTTGAAGGTCTTTTCGTGACGAGCGATCACGTGAAAAGGGCCTTCGTAAGGTTGTTGCAAAGGTTTGCGTTACGAATCTACTCGTATGAAAAAATGTGAACAGGTAGATAACTCTCGAGGGAGAGCGACCTGTCGATGTTGTATTCTAGTTGACACCGGAGACAGCGTTCGCATAAATGCAGACAGTCGATGGACGTAGTCTGATTTACCGAAGTTAGGTCTGCTCCGTGGTGTGAAGGATTCTCCGGGCAGACGCAATGTCGTGCCGTTTACCAGTTCAGCGGCGGAACAGTGTATATCTGCCTTCAGGCTCGTTTGAATACTTTAGAGGACGAGCGATAAGGTTTCGTACCAGTTGTCGTTCTCGTGTGCTCGTAGAGCACTTTTAAGTTGGCAATGAAACCGTTCAATTTAACCATTTGATGCTGGGAGGCAGACGTTAATGCTTATGCTAATGCATTCCGTACCTAGCAGTCGGGTCAGCGAGGAGAATAGTTAATAGGGGAAAATTTCTCGAATAAGGCGTGGAATTCATCATCACGCGAATAAAGTGAAAAGGATTCGGTACACATACATGTGAGTCTATTATATTTATACTATTCTTATCGTTATCCGTCATGTCGAGTATATTATATATTAAAAATATGAAAATATACGACAGACGTGGATAGATCAATCATAGACTCATCGAAGTGTAAGTATAATAATGGAAGCACAAAATAGCTGTCATTAGCACGGTCAAACAAAAGCACAATAAAACAGTCACTGGTACAGTTGGTTATAATAATAAGCGTTTTTATTAAACCAGTCGTGTTCTGGTGATGAATGTGAGTCACTACAATTATATCACTCTGAATTGGGGGAAGGAGTGTTTTCCTTAATGCAAGAATGACTTAATCTTATGATTAAAATTCTTGGGCAGTTTGAGTTTTTGTCGCGAAAACCTAACTTTATATCGTTTTTCCAGTACATCACCTTCGCTTTCTCGTTATAGACTGCCTCAGATTCTAAACTTCTATTTTTTCTTTTATCCGTAGCTGTTAGCACTAGTGACTTGTTTTACTCGGACCTAGAAACCCGCTGGAAACTGATTTCTTTTACTTCTCAATCGATCTTGTGAGATTTGGTTTTAAGGGATATATACATATTAGGCGGGACCCGCGAATATTGGCTGCGCTACTCGTTGGTTGTTTCATCTGGAATTACGATGTCTTGGGGCTGTCATTGGTAAAATGGATATGTAAGTGGTCATTAGTTCGTTAGGATGGTGTTTTTGTTTTTGCTTTTGTGACAACATATTTTCTTATTAAGGGTGGAGAACCTCACAGACTTCTCTCGAGATAGTGATGGTGGGAGCGAAAGAGAGTATATCTCACAAATTTGTAGTGAATTCTTTTTTAGCATGTTTGAAGTGACGAGTACTAGACTGTCTGCCTGTAAACACGATGGTGGCGATCATCAGCAAGACAAGGAGAGGTATGCAAGGTAAGTCAATACTTTATATCATTCGAATTTCCCAGGGAAAGTCATTGTGAAATAGAGAGACGAAGACGTAACAAAATGACTGCCTATATAAACGAATTATGTGAAATGGTACCAACTTGCAGTTCGCTCGCAAGGAAGCCTGACAAACTTACTATTTTGAGGATGGCTGTGAGCCACATGAAATCGATACGAGGTACCGTCTAAATAAATTTTTCCAGTATCATTCAGAATAGTAGGGTGAAGTACTTAAGTTTTTATTGGGTGTACTGTTCTTTTCCTCTCAGACTTCAGTTTTTGGCGTTTGCATCTCGCTTATTTTTCATAAGCTCAATGGCCAAAATTTGTTTGACTTTTCCTATTTATTATCAAATTGATCGAAGTGTCTGGGTCTGGGTTTGACATTTGTTACGTTCTATTCAGTAGTAAATGCATCGTTCAGAAGTTGAGTTCCTTAGCAATATTCTCTTTAGTCACCGATAGCTAGAGTTCTTTTTTATGCTTAATCAGTAGGTTAGAGAAATGTAAAGCTGAATTATTTTTTAGTTTTTTCATCGTTGTTCAGCTAGATATTTCCAAAAAGCATCCACAAAATCGCCCTATAACAGTGTCAATTTTTTCACCAGTCATTGTGGAATTAAGCGTTTTTCCATATTCATAAAATCATGTGCAGTCAAATAACATGGATAAATGTAATTTATGATCCAGTCAATCTCACCGTCCATCCTCAAACTTAAATTTCTGAGAGTTGTAATAATATTCAGAGGACACTGAAGTTCTTAGATGTTTCCATTTAAATTATTGTTTTTTCCTAGATCTCCTCTTATGTTGCATACCCGTTTCTTCTGGGTTCTAAATTTTCGGTCTTTCGTGGTATCACTCATGTTTAATTTAATTCCACTATTTTGTTATTCAACTTGTCAATTCCCACTTCCGCCGTTTATATTTTACGTGGCGACCTAGGCAAAGAGAAATTTCCACTCGGTCTCTACATTAATTGTGATTCATTGTTGGGCAACTGTGAGTCGTTGTACTCCGCAATAGGACGACGAAATCTTAATAATAATGACAATGACACTGTGTTAAAAGTACCGATATTAAAACTGGAAGTGAATCTAACTAGTAACTACGTTTAAATATTTTGATTTGTAGTAGTACTTGACTTTTAGGATCATAGCATGAGATTGGGGGGTTTCGGTTAGTTTCAGCTATTAACTGGTACACGAAAACCCATCATTCAGCTAATAAATCTGTACAAAAGAGGCTGAAACTAGTTTAAAAGAATTTATAAAAGAGGTAGTCGTAATTCACTGATACATTGGTTAGACTTCCACCTTTGCAATATTTGGAAATCATAGCAGATATTGCAGTCTGATGGTCGGTTGTAGCTTGTCTTGATATGACTTTCCTGTTTAACCATTAAGATTGCTCTTCCACTTATCTATTAGTGTCATGCTTATGCTCATTGATTTTCTTGTACACTGCAGAACATCATGACAGATTTATGAGTAGTTGAAATCTTTTATAGTTAGTGGTATACATTCGTGTCATATTCTATATTGTTTTTGTCTTTTTGCCTATTGCTGAAAGAAACGTTAGAATTATTTAAATTTCAGTCGCTGAGCTTATTTCAAACATAGTTTTCACAAATAGTATCAATGCAAAATGTCAAATGCGTCAATAGGTTCGACTTCTTTTGTTTTAGAAGCATATTGCCCGTGCTGCAGCGTGTTAGTTTTTAGCTATGAACTGTACATCGTGTTTACGTGGTTGGTTGAAATGAAGTATCTAATTTAGCTGCTCACAACTGTCAAGTTATTTAATAGGTATTTTGTGAGATCAGATCGTTGGCATTCGTTCTTAGTAGGTTTTAGGAGGCTTAACGTCTTTACTTGAGTGTTAGGTATGTAATAACTGAAACTCGTACGGATTAGTCTAACCAATCAATCATGCATGATCTGTCAGACATAACCAACACCAAGTCTGGCACATATCTGCATCGGTTCAAGTTACAACACTAAAGCACATCAAGGTGCCAGAATATTAGAAATAATTACAGCATCGGTGGTAACATAATGATTCAGCATCAAAAATATGACTCGAGAAGGAAAGAAGTATGAGATCATTCTTAAACTCAGGATCTAAGGGAAGATACATGCTGAATCGATTTGGGCTATTTCGAACGATTCTAAGCAACGTCAACCAGCGTCTCCATTAGTTTCAGTAATTGTGCGGAGTCCAACCAGATGGTTTTCGCCTGCCGAAGGCTTAGTCCAGCATTCGACATTTTCATGGACTGAAGCCACATTTTTGGTTTGGCCACCTCAAGCTTTGTCCAGCTTCTACACCAGACATCCCCTTTGAGGGATTGGTTTGGCAATATATGTATATGTTGAGATAGCCGAATGGTGTCATGAGTCTCTATTCCCTCACCTGATACACATAGACTAGCAAACGAACATTATTTGAATGCTAAGTTACAATATTTCATTTTGCTGAAAAGTGGTAGCTAACAAACACAATCAAGAGTTGTGTTTTTAAAAAATACCTTTCTGCTTGATATCCTAAAGATTTCATTCATTTTAGGAACTGGGAGTACAACATCTGATGGATCATACAAACCCTCATTTCTTTCAGATCAAGAACTTAAGCATTTGGTTTTGGAAGTGAGTTTTGTAACAATAGATAACCGTTTATCCAGAATAAAACCTTTGTTTTTCACACAATATTTTTATCCTTTTAATAGAATGAATAGTGTATCAGCATTCTAGTTAATGACATCTTAGAACCAATCATTTCAAAACATGAAACAAGTTAGTGGAACGAAAACCCCGTGAAAATTCACGAGTAAATAGAACTTACTAAGAAATTGTCAGGGCTGTATTAATACCCCACTCAGTTTACGTATAAATGATTGATTACTTAAAAGCCCCATCGCCTTTTTATTTTTTGTTGTGGTTGTAAAATAAGCGCAAATAAATCATTAGAAGAATAATAAATAATAATTACTTGTTCTGTAGCCTACCCACCCACCATTTACATTTAAACGTGATTAAAAAGTTTGATTCTTGCCTATATGAATTTTGGTGGAGTAAGTTCAATGGATTTCATCATCTGATTATTTGAAATTATATGGAAGTTAAAAAATAAAAGTTCTTAAATGGAAGCTTCTTCGTATTTATAAAAGCTGAATGTTTCTAAGATTCAAATGGAGTAGCATGTACTAGCGAGGGCTCAGTACCTAATTTTAGAGGCTACTGGGACAGATTTCAATGATGAAATAAGTTGAACATTGTCGTCCGCTTATTTGGAATGTGTCTATGTACTGTCCTCACCTGTGAGTTTTCAGTTGTAATATACTTAATACAATTTCACCATGCTATTTCTAATAAACAAGTTAAATAACGTGCTGTATTGGTTTTCCCATGATTTATGTTCTATCATATACTACATATAAAATAAAACTGAAAAAGTGTGATGTCAATACTGTTATAAGTGCAGCCTACATATTTATTAGTTGTACATTATATGATGGTCCATTTTAACTACATCTTTTTCTAAGGCTGCGGATGGATTTCTTTTTGTTTGTCAATGTGATACTGGAAGAATCATCTATGTGTCTGACAGTGTAACATCTGTGCTCAATCAAACTCAGGTACGTAGTCCTATAATTTTGTGTGCCAAAGTATATTTACTATTCAGACTACACTAAAAGATAATACGTTAATTTTCTTTGTACTTATTATAAGTGAAGTAACGGAAAGTATTTACGGCAAAACAGTGATCGCGTTAAAATCCAAGCTATTAATAGCTAAGGAACAACTTTGAAAAGAAAACGAATATGCTTATGCTATGGTTACGGGGCAAGCAGCCTAATTAGTGGTGACAATTTTTAATTTAGGTGAAAGTTTCACAATCTGACGATTCAACTCAGAAAAAAGCACTAGCAAAAATTAGCTATTGTCGTTTACAAAATGTCTATAGATTGTCACTCAGTCACTGATAACCTGTTTTAAATTTGGAAGTTAAGAAACAGCTTTCATATTAAATTTCGTGTTTATCGGTCAGATATTAACCTTTAAGTATGATCTATAGTATTAAATAGGTTTTATTTCTCGTTTCAGTGTTTTTATTATTGATTTGAGGGGGGGGGGTACTATTAAATATTTTGTGTTGAATTATTCATAGTTATTTAGAAATTTGTGATTATCTATCGTTTAACAGGTTGAGATTCACCAAAAGAAATTTCAAAAACTTAATGGGCACTATGTAGATGTCATCCTGATGACATTTTCCATTGTATTTGTTACACATGACTAGTAATTAGAATTTGAGCCAACAAAATTTATTCTGTTACAGACATTAGAAAAATAAAAGCATAATAAACACTGGATGAATTTGTTTCCTTCTGTTATCAAAGATTATTTCAATAATAATAGTACATGTGTGTATAGAATAATTTGGTGTGATTTAAAAAATAACTAATAGTTTGGGTAAATTTCATTTTTTGGGTGTTATTGTCATGGGAAGTAATTTTAATAATTAATTATGTTTTCAAGGCTTATCCATGGACTCACTACCCAACGTCCCGTCCACAAAAATGTGGACTGATAGTGTTATGACCCCAGTTTAACTATTGTTATGAAAAAAAGGAAATCTGCTTACTCGTAAATGACACCAATAATTAATGGTAACTGTTAGCATCATGGGATTTTTCCCTGAACTGGCCTAACACAGTTCTATTTCGGGTGCACACATATGTGCACGACTCAATTCAAGAGAAAAGAATAGGAACATATGGACAGATTTAGATTTATTCCACACTGAAACTAAATAACTAAATTGAATAAAGCATCTGAAGTCCTATTTTAATATTGGTTTCGTTTAAGTTGGTATTTAGTACAAAACTGAATAAACGGGATTTTAGTTTGTTCACAACTGATCATCATTATTATGGAGTTGAAGGCCAAGCTTTCTATTTTTAGTTGTTTACTGAGTCATGAGTATTATCGTTACAGTGTTGAGGAGTAGTTTCGTAGGTTCACTAATTATGTCTGTCACCCTTCGGTTCACCATTACGTTGATATTTGTGGGTTGCATAGCAAAGTACAGGTAATGACATTTAGCATGGCAAAACAGTCTGCCAATGTCGTAAAAACACAGATATTACAACCAGCAAAGTAATTTACTAAATCACACACTCAACCTCATTTCTAACAAATAGTTGGCAAAACAATTGAAGTTTGGAAAATTCACTTGGTTTTCATAAACAAATACAATGAGTGATCCGTATCGGATTTTGTTTAAAAGTTTCCTATGCAAATATACTTGTTGTATAATTTTCAATAGTCTCCGAAGTAACTTATCTACTCTATGAAAACTTTAGATTTATTGCTCTAAAAAATACGATTCCTAGAAGATCTGGTTATCACATCATTATTGTCTTATCAAAAGCACTAAATTGTGGGTGAACGAATTGTTTTTAAATTATGGTTATATCGACCAAATCTTGAGAACTCATCATTTTTAAGAAATCGATATTGGCACATGATTGATTTTTATCGGCCTGCCTTCACTCCCTAAAGTTTGAAGTGTTTAAGGTGTCTTATTTTTCGAATCCCTATTGATACACATTCTCTGTAGCCTTCTTTGTGTTTAATATATATGTGTAATTAGAATAATCTAGACTACTTGTGATCAGTAGTGTTATATTTTATGTCCTTGTTTTTAACGTTTTAGTCAGAATGGTATCAGCATACCCTGTACGAGTTATGCCACCCTGATGATGCAGAGAAAATATGTGAACAACTTACTGGGTCTATATTACCGTCACAAGGTGCTAGTATTTTAGGTCTCACAAGTCAAGCTTCGTTATCTACTTTATCGAATTGTAATTCGACCAATCTCACCAAACAACCCGCTGGATCAGACCTTAAAATGGGCGCTGTTGCATCTGATTCCTCTCCTACATCAGTATCTGATCTGGTATCTACCCACATATGCGCTTCCCAACGCCATAATTCTCCAGCAAATTTGACTAATAATATTTGTTCGTCACCTGCTCCTGGGCGGATACTAGATTTAAAATCTGGCACATTGAAAAAGGAAGGTCATCAATGTACGTTACATTCAGATATTTATAAGCTGTTTTATCAGGAATCAAAATTCTTACCATGCTAAAGCGTGTTTCTTATATGTAGTATCTAGTATTAAACAAAAATTAAAAACGGATTCTTTACAGTGAAAATTCTAATGTGTTAATCAAAAATACTGAAAATCACAAATCTACATACGTTTTTTTCCATCGTTTGACTGTTGGTGGATTTCGGGTAAAGCATCTCTCCGTATATTGCATTTATATAACGATGAAATAAAATACTTTATCCTGTCTTTCCTGATTGTGATATCCTACTTGTATTTAACTATTAATTAAGTCCAAGATATCTTGTTTTCTCTTCGTTTTTTCATATTTTACTTTGAAACTTAACAATCATTGTTTTCAGATTTGCGTATTGTGAATAAAGGCGTTTGAAATAAAACAGAGATATGTCCACTTGATTTCTGTTTCATCAATGAACTTACAATAAAGATAATGTATTGATTTTCTCTTTCTAAATTTATTAGCTGGTTGGTAATCTATAAGAGTATTTGGTCACTTATAAAATAACTTATAACTATATTATTTGTTACTTGTTACTCAATTGAGAATAATCAATTCTGTGATCAATTGGTCAGTTTTCTGATATCCAAATTTGTAAATGAGGTTTTATGTGCAGTTAACACTCAGTTATCTTACCTGAATATATATATCCTAGCCTGTTTCTGAATTGATGTGATGGTACAACATGAGTTAAACACTTATTAAATATTGAATCAATGAAGTTATTTAATTTAATCTAAACTGTTTTCAATGTGCAAACAGTTCAAATATATCCCGAATCAGTTTTTATGTACTTGTGTAAAACGAAAGTAAAAGAATAAATGAACCTGATGACATTCTATCAATAGTGCGGTCATTCGAAAATGCTTTGATTTTATATCTATAACTTCCAACTGTTAGTTAACATTGAATATGATATCTAAGTAGTTATCCATAATCAGATGTACTATTTTTTGCTTTTGTTGTCATTCTCAGCTCACTTACGAGGGAATATGAGCTCACGTCGTGGTTTCATTTGTCGAATGCGCCTAGGTTCAGCTATCCAGTGTGCTATGCAATCAGATGCTGGAGTTGTTAGTTCATTAGGATTAACAGCTCGGGCACGTCTACGTTATCGACATACTTTTGGAATATCATCAAGCGATCAATGTTCTTATGCTGTTGTTCATGTGACCGGTTTTGTGAAACCATACAATCCTACGATTGACCCCACTCCGAATAATGTGCAAGTTAGTGGTCAGGCTATAGGATCTCAAGCATACCCCCTATTCGGTAGGTTTTTAATTTTAATTATTTGTGATAGAACTTAACTTTTAATTGATTCATTATTAAACGTTCCTTATTCTCCTTCTATTTTACATCTATTCACATTGGGTTTAGTTTCATTTGATCGCTTTATTGAATGTAAGCCATAAAAACTTCTTTTACAATTCGTCTGTTGCATTACTCCGAGTTAGACGTTTTGGGTGTTTATCGCATACATTACTTAGATAGCACTATTATCGTGTAGAAGAACGTGGAGCAGCAGTCGCTTGTTAAAAATAGTTTCCAACCATTAGGTTTCAATCGCGAACCGTACTCCACCCCTAAGACAGCTTGCACAGCCGGTTAATATCACTGACTATTAAATAAAGTGTGATTTGAATCCAAACACATAGATCGCTAATCGATAAATGAGTCACACTAAAATGAATTATTCAAACTATCCTGTAGATGATTAATTTCGATAAGCTACATCTCTAGGAACAGTATCGTCTAGTGGTTGTAATTAGTACTCTGAATATTTCACTCCTATGAATCCGCTGTTCATCTTGCTGTGCTAATGAGGTATGGCAACCTGGACCGATGCACATATGTGCCTGGTCTTACGTTGTAGCTGACTGACTGACTGACTCTGAATATTTGATCTTATATTATGAAACATGCTTAGCTTTACGCACTCATTTAATGATTTTTTCATTAGAATACTAGTTTATTGCAATCTAAATATTTTGAACATTACATTGACTTTTGCATTTACAACCAATTTTAAACGTTGAAAACATGTTCAATTGGATTGTAAACGCGAGTTATTTTATTCATATGCCTAAAACGCATTTTTCATAGATAATTTATTCCAATTTAATTGTCGTTGACATTTACCTCATTCGGCGTACACTTGTTAATAGGTAAGATAATTCGTAAACATAAGGTGGAACATGTCCCAAATAAAGTGCACATATGACATATCTCTGTTTAGTGAAAATGCTAGTAATATGCAGTTTTCGGAACAACTGAAAAACCATGTAAAAATGTTTGGGGTGTATTTCTTCTCTTCTGAATGTAAAATGATGCTTTTGGACTTGTCTACATCAATGCTTATTTTGGTCAAAGGGAATGAAGTAGTTAAGTGCGTTGACCACTTCATCCACGTTTGGAATTCCATTAAGTTGGTGAGTGGTAATTGGTACGGATACAAAAAGCTCTCCTGGTTTTTTTCAACTTGCGCCACCTACGTTACATTAAAATATTCACCTCCCAACCAGTGTTGAATTTAAATTCCAGTCGACTATGTATTAACCAACGGTTAGATAACATGGTCTGTTCAGATGGCTAACATTCGCGAGCTATTTGTATTTGGTTATAGATATCTTCAAACGAATCCTCGCGCATTTCAGAACAACGAGGTGAGGAATCCTGTGGTTGGGTGTGTGGTACTAGGTAAAATGTCCAAGTCAGTTATTAACCCCTATAAACCTTTATCAACTAAGGTGATTAAAGCACGTGTCATGCATGCCTACCACTTACCCCGACGTGCAGTAGTGGCTAACAATAAGACAGGTTGGAACTAAGTTGTAAGCGAATGAAATAAGACAACATCAGTGTGTAAAGTCATTGACTGTTGATCTGAACCGTGCCAGTGGGTTCCGTTTTTCTGATCTGGTCTAGCAGAATACTGGTAATCAATGTTTGGAGCTGTTGGGTAACATGTCGAGAAAACAGTCTCCATAGTGCAGTAGGATCCATTCCCAGTCTTCCTCCATTTCTTCAGTTTAGTGATAACCCTAACTCTTCTTCCGTCTTATTCCTCTTTGCTTCGTATATTTTCGTCTTTGACATCCATTTCACCTGGAAGTAAGTTCCCTCGTCTGTTTTTCTTGTCAAGGACTCAGGATATTTATTCGTACTCTCTCACTGATGATTACGAACAGACTTTAATATGCATTCGTCCAAGTTAACACACTTCATGTCTAATATAATGATAATATTTTCTCGACGATCGAGATGTAGATAAGAATAAACGGAGAATGAGACGATTACATTGCGTTTAGGGAAAGATAAAGAATGAGTCCTACACTACTGTATTCATTATTAAATGGTCTTTAGTAACTGATTACGATTATGAAATAACCTATACGTTTTCAAAAAATTCAGGCGAAACGTTAAAAACTTACTGAACTGATTTTATATTTTCGTTCTACTACCCTTTACTTTCTATTAATTTATTCGTACGCCAAAATCAAATACAAAATAGACGGTGACTAAACTCATACAACACACAGTAAGGTGACCTAGGCTTAATTCCTCCCTATACTCTGATTTGATCACGAGTGTTCAGATAAGAAGTTCTCAATAATATCACTTAATAATTAGAGTTCTCATTCGATATCAAACAGCAGTACAATATATTTTAATAAATAAATGTCAATGTTGTTCTCAGATCTTGAGAAAAACTAGTGGTAACTACTTAAATTTTCTGTTTTCTCTAGCTTCTTATGTCAACTAAAAATGTTAGCTAAACACATGAAAGAAATTTCTGAATACTCTATATCATCAGTACAAGAAAAACCATGCTAGGGTATCGAGTTCTAGTATATTATGCCGTATGTAAGGTTATAGGTTATCATGAAAGGGTCATCAAGGTAAATGAACTTTTGTTTCAGTGAGCTGTTTTACGTATGTTGGAAGTAATACGAGTGAAAATCACATTTATAATCAATACATAATTTTCTGCTAAAAACGGTACTTGAAGATTTACATTACCAACAGTCCTACGATCACTTATGTTTCAAACGACCTATATTTTGTATATAATTTTGTCACTTCATCCTACAAAGTAACTTATTGGTACGTTTACTTACAACATTGCTTAATTGGATTAGTCACCATTTAGACAGTGTTCTCAGCAGTTCGAAAAATCAATGACATATCACACCTGGACATATGAATTTTCTATTGAAATCATGAGCCGAGCAAAGTCAGACAAATTTTGAAAACCCGGAATCACTGGACAGCCGTTTTGTCCTAGCATGAGAGTTTTAAGCGGTAGGCGTTCACGATCCATTTTCTTCTAACGTACGAATTATTATCATCGATGAGATGTAGCATATATTTATTTCATTTTATTTAGGTGAACTGATTTTTAAATAGTTTATCCCTTTGATAAATTTAGATAATTCAATGAGAAGATGAAGCTTCTGAAAACCATGTAGTATATTTCGATCAATCTGATCACACATTTACTTGTTAAGACATTTATGTGTGAACAATAAAGGTCATGTATTATTCCTTATTCTCTTTGTTCTACTCATATCTTGCTATTCATCTGGTTGGTTATTATTTTACATATATAAATGTTCTTAACAAGTATATGTGTGACCAAACTGTTCGAAATATATTGCTCCAATATATCATATACTTCTCATGATTTTTATCTTGTTATTGGACCATCTAGACTGAACTTTGCCATAAAACCCTCACTGAAATATGGCCTAACTAGTGTGTAAGGAAAAAATCGATATATGAAGTTTTTTTCTTTCTTTCCATAATAAATGTCTGTTAGATAAGTTTACTGTTTGCGCATTCCATATACACTCTTCGTAAATATATAACTATTAGAAATTAAATGTACCTACTTAGTGACTCTTATTTCTATTTTAAATCATAATGAAAGACATCCTGATGATTTTTTTTCCTTCAAATTTTAATGTATTTATAGAGAGCACTAAGTTACTGTGTATTTATGTATTCTTTGTTATTAGTTTATTGACCAAAACAACAACAAAAAATTAGTAATTAGTTTATTTGGTAAGTGTGGAATTGAGCATTCTGAGCATTTTGTTTACAATTAACTATTTCACATCAACAAACTTTTCTTATTGTTTAGATTATTTTTAAGATTGTTTACGGAATGATTTAATGTGAAATGATAGTTTTTATCATTATTTTTTTGTTGCTTGTTTGTTTCTTTAGTTTCCCAGTTTAAAATATTGAATTGCGTCTATTTCTCAATATATTTTTTTCCTGCATTTAACGCATGTACTAATATCATTTTATGTGTGTGTGTGTATATTTGCTTGTTTTAATGGATTGTGTTATTAATCTACTCATTCTGTTCTTGAATAAAAATAAGGAGAATTCAGCGAAGAAAGTTTTCTTTTCGATGAAACCATTTATTTATGCCGTACATTCGTATTTATAGTTGTATGATAAGTATGATGCAATCTTTTCTATCCTCCTATATTTACCATTAATACAAATGTATAGCTTAAGTAAATGATTTTATTGGAAAGAATATTTTCTTCGTTGAATTCTCTTTATTTTCATTCAGTGAAACAATGGGTTATTTTAATTATTATTTTATTGTTCTAATCCTGATTTACATTTTAAATCCAGTTTTACTAAATTCTATGGACTGTTTAATCATTTAAATAAGTAGTATTTCTCGTCATTTAACAAGTAAACTTTTTAAAAAAATGTTTAGTGGTGTTTGAGTGAAGAGCCTTCACAAGGTTTATGTACTTCTGAGGTACGCCTTTCAATGACAGAGAACCTCTCAGTCAACAGACTCAAATTCTGCTTTTAAGTCAAGAAAGACCACCATTGTCGGATGCCGATACGCATGTCTTGGTTCTAGAACCTGACGAATGATGAATATGTAGTCGATGCAGCCACAACCAGGTCTGAAACTAGCCTGATTTTCTCGTGCTTGCAGTTCATGAGTCTTAGTTAGGCGTACGATAATTATTGAGGCTAGTATTTTAGACGCTATATTAGTTAAACTAATTCCTCCATGTTTATCACAGGATGATTTTAACCCTCTCTTATATATTGGGACGATAAGTGATTGTGACCAATCAGATGGGATTACGTCCAAATCCCAGATTTCAGCTAAAAGATTAGTCAATCTAGTTACTAAAACTGAACCACCATGCTTAAAGATCTCTGAAGCCAATCCATCTGGACCAGATGCTTTTCCTCGTTTCAGATTACTATAGCTTTTTGAACTTCGATTGAAGTCGGAGCGCCTACTTCAATGTTCCATTCAAAGTGTTTGGAAATGGTGGGTATTTGTGCAGTGGCTGAAGGTCAACTGAACTGTTCTCTAAGGTGTTCCGCCCTCGTCTGGGCTGAGAGCAAATGTGAGTGTCGTCTTTTTCCGAGATAGTCTCACTTGCATTTGACTTTTTAGTTCCAGTTTCTTTTATTAGTCTGAAGAGCTGTTTTGTGTTGCATACAGCCGCCGCCTTTTCAATCTCTTTTGCTTTCGTTGCCCACCACTGCTCACGGTCGTTCCTTAGACTTTTGGTTAACCTAGATCTAATTTACTTTCTCTCTTCATGGTGTTCAGAGCCTGATGGGATGAGTTTACAAGAGCCCATCAGTGCAATAAGCTTAGAAGAAATTCATTGTCTTTTTGTAACCCCTTCGGTTTAAATCATTAATAGGTGTCACTGCTGTTTCCACAGCTGCTTGTTATCATTCCAAGCAAAATCTGGGTCAGCCTCGTTTCAGAACTACCTAAGTGTGACCTCAGTTGTTCCTGGAAACTACTTTTGGTTCTATCGTCCCTCAGTTCAATTCTAGTGGGTCTTAATGTGGCTTTTCTATGCCCAGCGTGCTCGTATTAGAACATAATCGGAGTATAAACATGTACTCTAGAGCGAGCGACAGTCATCTGTGGAGCCTCTTCAACGATGACTGATGGCAATATAGTCTATTTGGGTCCGTTGTTGGTTTGATACCAGGGGGTCGCCATGTTAGACGATGTCTCTCCTTATGCTTAAAATTAGTGCTCGCTAAAAATTAACGATTGTCTGAGCACAGTTGCAGCAGACGATCACCATTATCTGTTCGTTGAGCAGGGATACTAAAATACCCACCTAAATGTCTTTCTGTTTGGTTTAAGCTACCTACTTGGGCATTAAAGTCACTTGCTACGTGTACCATGTTCGAGCGTTCAGCTTTATGAAAAAGTTCAGAAATCTTTCTGTATAAGTTATCTTTCACTCCGTCCAGGCTGCAGCCAGTTGGAATGTAGGCAGAAACAATGAAAAGGCAACAATGTGTCCCTATCCTTCCGAGTTCTTACAGAGCCTTTCAACCGAACAGCACATAGACGACTGTTAACGGGGATCCACCCTAATAGTGCTTGTTTTGCCCTCGTACTTAGTGCTATGCCTACACCTGCCAGTCCACGAGAACTAACCATCGGGACGCCAGATACACGGAAAGGTAACTCGTCGGCTCTCCGTTTTGGTAAGGTGAGGTCAAGTGAATGAGTACACTAGGATCGTGTATGCGTGTTTCGGAGACAACATACATCAATGGTACCAAATTTTAGGGTTTTAGCCTAGGGAACCTGCTGACCGATTTGACATAGTGTGTGTGCGTTGAAGGCTCCAATATGTAGTTTGGAGCGAAGTTTCAGTGGACCTGCGACATTGTTTTTGGCACTAGAATCGTTGGCTATGGTGACACTTGAGGAGCAAGTTTAGTGTTGAAAGCCGATGTAGGTGGAATAATGGGAATTGAAGAAGAAAATTGATTATGAATACAGTGATCTTGAGTGCTGTTTAAGGTATGAGGGCAGTTATTCTTTTCCGGTTGCCCACACCGTCGAAGGGTTCTTCCTATAAGTACCTGGAAAGGAAGTTGTGTTGGAGGTGGTCTTAGTGCCCTGAGAGCGTTACACAGTGCCCAAGGAACAACTGCCGTCACAGTCAGCAGTACGACTCCGCCTTCAGACCTTGGGTTTGCTGCTTTTGTTCTTACCATTCTTCAACCGACCTGTCTTACATGGTAAAACTTTGAGGAACGATTGTTCCAACCAGTGTAGCTCGATTGTTTCATCACGATATTTAAGCCCGAGGAAGACGTCCAGGTAGCAGCAACGGTCGGGAGTAATAAGTTGTGTGAGTACTTAGTGTATTTAGTTTCTAGAAGAAAACCAAGTCTAACAAAATAAAAATATATATGTCGTGGTTCAATATCATATATATATATGTACTGTGAATAATCTAATTAGTTTGTAACTACCCTGGAATCACTAAAGACACTCGTAGTATGTGCTTGTAATGAATTAAAAGCAAAAAACATCTGTGTGGAGGGAATTTTTATTAGTACGTTTATGTTTTTACTGTATTCATGGTCTTGCAATCAATGGGATAAACATTTTGAAGGCGATGTAAGAGATGATAGAAAATGATCGTTTATGCAACAATAATGAACTCATTTCGAAGATAATTTGTAGTGAAATGATGCAAACCCTTAAAAATCTACTTATAAGGTAATTTAACTAAAGCCCGATATCTGTTATTCTTATATACAAGATGAAAATTAATTTCTCTATTCTGGACGAATGTTTACATGCTTTCCTGTTCCTCTTTTGCCTTTTCGCTAAACTTAAGTTTTTTTAATATTCATTCAAACTGATAAATATAAAATACTTTAGGGTTATACTTATTAAATTTGTTAATAATTTAAGTTCGCGGATTCTTTGTTTACCTCAAGTCTTTTAAATTTGTTAGTGGTTTATAAATAATTTATTCAGTTATATTTACTTTACTCAACACTTGTAAACTATTTGTTTGTTAACCACCATTTTTATGTTTATTACCATTGAACAGGTTCAGTGTATACGTCCTAAATTATTCCCCATATAGCAACGTCTAGTTGCGATTCCATTATCCATTTTGATAAAATTATATAATCACTGCAATAAATCTTGCGGTTTGCTCCTTACATCTTTTGTGTTGAAGCCATTTTTTATAATTTTATTAACAGTAGTCGAATGCCCAGTAGAGTTCAGCAACTTTGAATATATAATCTAAGCTAACCATGTTGTTTGCCCCCTAACTTGAAAGCATCCTCTAATCACATTTCACACGCTGAATTACACTTGTCTGTTGATGTTTATATCATTTATTTTCTTACTTTATTGAATATATACTTGGTGTCACCACTAATTACAATATTTGTAATCCAGACAGTAGTTAGCAGTATGTTAGTTCCGGCTTTCTGTGTAGATTTATAATTAATTACCAATTTTTGGAAACATTGCGAAATTCGCTCGTGATTGATACAAAAGAATTCTGAAATCAATCAAGGGGTTTTATTTCGAGAAACAGATAAATTCGATGTTTTTTGGTCAGTTTCTTTTTCACGAGATTTAGCTGCTAACCCTATGCCCGAATTTCCTCCTTTACCTTTAGTAACTCTAGAGGGGGCTTCATGCAGAGTTGATAAATTATAGTTGACAATTCGTGCCATAGTGGTAGGGTTCGGTATACTGAATTGATCCGAAGCTTTTGCTAGGTAATCCACTATAAAACAAAGTAATCTGGTTTCGGAAATCGTATTGATAGTCGACTATTGTCTGCCCAAATAATCGACATAAAACTTGTAAGGTAGTTGGACACTAAGTGTTTACCTTTGAAAGGGTGGATTGTTCGGAGTGGAATTCGCACTGAGTACAGCTGAGTAGAAACATGTGTTTGTAATGAAACTAGCTAGATAACAAGTGATTAACATGATCCCATTTAAAAGTTAATTCTGCTTTCCTCAAAATAAGTCTCTGATAAACAAATTTAGTTCCTGATCTTATGTTGGCCAATACATCTCTAAGACTATTACATCTTATGTATTTAGTAACGGGTACTTTCTATATCATCGTTACAGTCTGATTATTTATCCGTTCGGTAACATTTCGCATCAATTTCTGCAAAAAATACATCTTTTAAAAATAGTTTTCATCTAATAACGTTAGAATACTTCACAATTATTTAGTTTCCGTTTCTAGCGCTTTTCAGCGGTGCTCACTTATTGTGCATTACATTATTTAGACCAGAACTAAACAGTTATTCAATCTTTTTTGTCTCTCTACTTTGCCGTAGTTTCCCAATACTTGATGAAAACCTTTGCATAATCCATCTCACTAAATAATATCTGTTTTTCTTAGCACACATAATTAAATTGATCCATTTTTCTAAAATAAAAAACTGATTTCTTTCTGACAAATTGACTTTTCTAACAGACAAAAATGTATTTTTCTCTGTTAAATTAATACTAGTTAAACATTCGTTATTTATTACTGGTTTTTCTGCGAATTCCATGTCATGTATGCTTCGACAGAAATTATCCAATTCATAGATGGATAAAAGTGTTTGAATAGATAACGTTTTACGCTTTAACCAACATGCCACTTAACAGTAGATTATAATTTGTTTCATTTGGTTTTATATATATATTGGGTTTTTGACTTTTATTTCAGATGGTCTCATCTCAGAAGAAAGTGACTTTAATCCTCCAATCTCCGATAATAATCACCTCGGTCGTTCCGATACAAATAATTGTTCAGATGTTCATGTACCTCAGTGTTTAATAGCTTTAGGTCGTTTACAGGTAGTCAACAAACCAGAAGCCCTTGACCTTTATCCTCATCGTTTTAATGAATTCCTTACACGTCATTCAGCAGATACGCTTATCACATTTTGCGATCAACGAGTTCAACACGTTCTTGGTTTAGAAACAAATGAAGTCCTTGGACAAGCCTTTGGAAATCTCCTACCTTCTTCTAGAGATAAGATTAGTTTTCAAGAAGTTTTTGACAAAGGTAATTGTATTTTTTCATAGTGTCTATAAAATAGATCATCAGCTTATTTACCTCAAGTTTTCCAGAACCTCATAATTATGACAACATAATACAATGATACACATTGTTTATTGTGTGAAAAGAAAGATAACAAGAGAATCGCGGAAAGCAAAAGAAATGATAAAAAGATTGAAAATAAAAGTTCCAATAATAACTTCACTATACACTAGTATGTAAAAACATTAACATCCAAATGATACTGGAATAGAAGTTCGCAATAAAATAGATGGACCGTCATGAACTGATAAAGTTTACTCATATGGACTAGTAATTTTAATGTATTACTTCTAAGTACTTGGATTAAATTCCATTTTATCTTTAGATAATCAAATCTTATTAATTAAAATCATGAATCGATCAGTGTTAGATCGCCATTGAAAACTTGGAAGCACTGGACGGCCGTTTCGTCTTAATGTGTGGGACTTCTCAGCAGTGCGTATGTGCAATCCTGCACGTGGGATCTATTTCTCCGACAATGTTAATTTCTGACCACTTAAAACAATACACTTCAGTGCATATTCATGCATTCATTCACGGTTTACTTTGGGTTTCTTTTTGATGACTTAATTACCATCAGCCATTATGGGTATTATTGTCTTTGAAGAAGACTTCAATGACCCTTAATCTGCTTCATTCAATACCTTTTTACTCGAGCTTTTTTCTAGCAAATTATCTTTCCAAATTTTGAGTCGAAGACTATAAAAAAACGTCTGATCATATTAGGGATGTTGCATCCCTAAATATATTTTAGCAGGAAGAAATTAAGTAAGAGATTATGTGTTGATAAGCATGGATCAATAGTGACCAGCAGTGGGATCCAGGACTCGCGTCTCGTCCTACTTGGAACTCATCGGCTGGATATACCTGGAAAGTGACTGGTCAATTGCAATTCTAAACAGCAATGGGAAGATTCAAACAATTAATACAGATTGTGTATTGACTTTGATGTGATTTTCATTTAGTTGGATTTTGTATGGATTCTGTGTAATTTCTGTTCATTTCACTTATTAATTCAGTCTGATTTTTGCGCAGTACAACATTAATTTATATCAGTTAATCCATCTTAATTTTTTCATTCACTTCGATTTTACTTAGCATACCATTCAATCGTATTATTTCTCTGTCATTTTGTGTTTAAATGACGATTATTCTGTTTGATGACTATTATATAATTTATAATCACTGTAATCGAATGACAATTCAGTGTATTCAAATTTAATTTTTAATGGTTTCTATCATATAAATCTTCCTTGTATTACGTGTTTTGGAGAAGGAAGCTGTTGTGTTCTTACTTTAAATGTCGTCAGAGTATTCACGGTTACTTCAAACCATGTCACATTTGCATTAGGAATATTATTACTCTTTGTCATAATTCTTATTATGAATTAAATAAAAATATAACGTTTTTGTCCTTTCAATTAGCCTGGAAGCTCAAAGGCCAGTCATTCACAATCATGGTACATATGCGTTCCAAATTATTTACTGAATTGCTGTTCGTTAAGTGTCATTTAACAGCGTTTGTGAATCCCTACAGTGAGGAGGTGGAATATGTTATTTGTACGACAAGTTCTATGAAGTAAGTATGTTCTTAGTTAAATGTAAGACTCAGTAGATTGTATGGTATATCATGAGAAAATTCACTTTATTATTACATTTAATCCCTTGTTTTACCAACTAGGATGCTACGAATATCTACTTATTTTCGTGCATATATTCAATTAACTTTATTCCATTTCAGAGCTTTCGAAAGTGAGACATCAGGTTCAAATCCAAATAGTACCTATTCGGAAAACAACAGTTACGGTCAAACTAAGGCAGATTTCTTTGAGAGGACATCCCATGTTACTCACGCTAATTGTTCAATAGTACGTGATCATATTAATACGACACCAATTCAACCGAACCCTAAGTCTTCGACTTATATTCATTCAGTTAACCAAGCAAAAGAATCACATTTGTCTACTTACTGGAGACATACAAATGAAAATACAGATCACTTTGACCCAGGATTCGCAATACAACCAAGTACTACTGAGATGAATCTATCCTCGAATATTGATCATCAATCATATCCATTTTCCGGCCAAGTAGATTCATCCTTGAACGAACCTAGCTCATTACATAGTTTGTCATGCTCTAACACACAATTAATACCGCAATCAAATCAAGAACACGCCACTATTCAACACCATACAGATCCAGCATCTGGTGACTATTTGTCATCTATGCCAAACAATTACGGTACACTACGAAACGGTACAGATTTTCCGACAAGTGATGTTCAGGCGCTAAATAATTTTGGTAAGTTTCACGTTAATTATACTGTTATGGATATCCAAGTGAGCATTGATCGAAATTTAATTTAGTATATACCCTTAACAACAATCCAAGTTTTTTTAATTACTTTAAAGTTTATTTTGTTATACAAATGCACAGAAATAAGTGTTCTCTAATGTCTAGTGTTAAGCTTTTAACTGAAAGTAAATCCATAATACAGGATAATAAATATTTCATGATAACTTGTGACTTTTTATTCATTTTCTCTCGGTCCTTACCTCATAGCACTGAAATTTATTCTCATAATCATTTCGGAACTCTGTTTATCAACGTGATATAAAATCAATCAGAACTGGCTTTTGTTCTCATTTTTCATATAAACTCCCAGTTGAATAAGACTCGTCAAATGTGCGGTAATGTGAAATGACTAACAGAACAAAACTGGATCGTGATTATATTCTTTGATTAAAGTGTGATAAATTTACCAGGATATATCACTTATTCTAGAAAGTAATCAGATAGTTTAAGGAAGCTTTACTTGCTGTCGATTAAAGAATACGTTTGACTTCTTACTGGTTGTATTTAGTTCTCAACTTCTAGATACTTTTCCGAGACATTGATTTACTTTTATTGCTAAGGCATTTGTTCTCTTGTGACGACTGCAGAAGTATCACGTAGACTAATGCAACACAAAACTATAGGCCATGTTGTATACCAATATAAAAAGTATTACTAATAATTATACTTGCACAGAAAGTTGTAGAACAAAGCACCGCCTTAATAAGCTACTGTTGTTTTTCTCAATTCACTTCAGATATGTAGCCAAATATGATTTCCATGTTTAACATGGATAATTCATGACTCATGTTGTTGCTGTTGTCCCACTTTATCTTATCAGTATTTAGGAAACTGTCCTGCTAAATATCGTTGCAATCATTATTAAGTGTCTACTAGTTTCACTCACATCTTGTTCAACATACTAAAGTAAGAAAATACTTATAAGTTATTACTAAAATCTACGTTCTTATCGTTAAGTATTTATTTATTGCCTGCATATGTTTGTGCTTGACGAGAAACTTTCAAATTTATATTTACAGATCACAAACGCAACAACTCTCTTGATGTTAACTGTGCTTTTCAAGCGTCTAACCTGAACACAGGTGACTGCATAGTTCAAACATCTGAAAGTGGATTAACACGCCCATCAGCTATCTGCTTTATGCCGTCAGATTCAGTAGGTGATTGTGGTTGTGATATTACAGAAAATATGTCACCACATACCATGTCATATCTCAATATGAACCGGCCATTTGGTAATCATGAAACATACTTACCAAGTATTGATATTGCCTCAGATTCCAGGACATATCGACAACCAATTACTGATCATCCTACTTCTGCTTTTCATGGATGGTACGATCCTACACTACCTTCCAGTTCCATATCCACTTCGGAGTCTTCCTCTATACCGTCGGATATTTATCATCAACCCGTTGCAAATAACCACACGCAAGATGATTTATCCGCCAGCGATTTTGTATACACTCAGCCTCACATATTGCAAACCAATAATGAAACGAATAACTGTATGCAACAAAACCCTCTGCAGCAACCGAGTTATGATTATTTCAAATACACTGTACAATAGCTTAAAAAACATTATTTGAAGTGAGTTGTATTTTGTCCCTGGGAATGTTGTGCAAACACTATCATTCCACTTAAAAATGACTGTTGTATAGTTTATTTGGAGTGTATACTTGAATTCTCTGTAGTTTTCTTTCATAATGATTCTTTTGTGTATCCATATATTCTTTTTATGCATATCTATCTTAATAGTTAATATTGTTATTGCTTACTTTTGCTGGTCTTTTTTATTTAATCAGGTTAATCGTTTCCTGATGTCATTGTGTACATGTCTTCTTAATTATTTCATGAGCTTAAAAGGAATTATGCTATGCTTTAAAGATTATATATATATTCTTAGTTGCTCTACAATTTCAGCATTTTTAAATATTTTTTTCTTTGTTAACTAATGGTACTACTTCATTTATAAATAGAAATAAACTGTAAACTAATGTACACTAGTTATCTTAATTACATTATATAAAAGCACATTTGCAATATATTACATTTTCTTGTACGTGCGCAGTTAATGTCTAGTGATTTTTGTCACGAAAAATATCGTTTAATGTTGTGGAGAATATTGTCATAAAATACCACGTATGATGGAACAGAGATATGGAAGTAACTGAGTTTAATATTATGCACATCGTTAACAAGTTAAATGGACTTTTTACGAGGCATCATCGTTGACTTTCTTCGCCTGTTGATTCTTAGTGCGAAGTATTTTACTTTTATGGTACGCATTTGGATTTTTATATGCGATTCAACTGTAGTCTATCCACACTTCTGTTACTCAAGGCTCATAATTGACGTAACCAGATCCCCATCCTCAACTTTTACGTATGATTACCCCTTGGTTTGCATTGGAAAGAAATTACAAAGGAATCTTGAATACATTCGGTAGTTACAGTTTCTTCCAAGTATCTGGCATTTAAAACAGTGGTCGTCTGAACATAGGAATCTATAGATCATACCTAGTGAGGATTTTGTGTTTTATCATTACTATAGTGTAAGTGGAGTTTAAAAGTAAGATATGTACTCCCGATCCGGATCATTAAGTTCGGTGTGTTGAATGTAGGGCATTTAAAGAATCAAAATACACGCAATTATCTATTTACACATTTTAACTACACCATAACTGGTTGTAAATCTATCAAAATAAGAAGTCACTTGTACTAAAAGCCGTTGTAACAGTCATGAATTGTCATTCAAACTACGTGCGGAAAGGCGAAACAAATGTGCTACTCGTAATAACAAGAAGTGAATAGTTACAGAGTACATATACAGTAACTAAGAGGTAGATGCAGTTGATTATCTTAGTTTAGTTATTCCCCTTTCATCCTGACGACCTTTTCTTTGGTTGTAAATAGCTGTAACAAATTTTACATGAATGTGCTGTCAAGTTCGTTGGTAAAGATATATTGTTATTGATTTAACTCATTTGCCAAGTACATTTTAGTATATATGGCTTTGAGTATGAGGGCCACTGACGCCAGCCGGTTGCTTAAACTGAAGCAGATAGACCGAAGTTCAAATTTGGAAATTAATGTCTGAAAATTTGATGCTTAAATTACTGAACCACTGTTAAACTAGTAAAAAAATATACGGTTTAATATAAAGTTTCTTTCCACCAATTAATTGGTAGATATTTGTAAAAGATTTAGTTAGACTGTCAGGAAACATCATTTTTCACTACAATTTGGCAGAACTATTTCAGTTTATTAACTGTTATGTATTTCCTATTCTATGATCCCCAGAAATTGCAGGCATTATCTTACCTTTGGGAATTTTAATCAACAGACAAAACTATCAGAAAAAAATAAAGGATTTATTTACAAGAAAGTTTAGGAAGTAAGATTCTCAGTTTTATTTAGAGTTTTCGACGTTCTGGCCTTCATCAGCTAGAAAAAAAGATCTATTACAAACGCAAAGTAATAACTCACATTTTTTGCCTTATTGATTTCACGCTTCTCATCGAATCTGATCTCATCTAGTTTCTAGAAAATGTATTTCAATGTAAATAAAGATGATAACAATTACGCGTTCTGCATCACGACGAGCGATAGACACTTCGGCAATTATTTGAGCTACTTTTTTTTCGTTCACATCAAATGTCTTCAATTCCTTATCTACATAAAATATGATCAATGAGATACTTGGGGTTAAGCAACAACACAGAATTAAAATTAAAAGAAATACAGCGAATCCCATTCTTAAGCAAACAGATTTATTGATGTATGATGATAATTTACAGTGAATTTTTCCCTTTTATACCTTCAGATTAAGTGGATCTTGGTAGTTATTTGAGAAATGTATTGGGGAATAACGAGATGCAACAGCTACTATTACCAATTTATATCCATCGAATTGAAGTTTTTCATTAGTTCTGTGCATAATATTGAGGCTATTTAATGAATTATTTGCCAGAATGGTCATAATGTAAGCTGTCTCACTCATTGTATAACAATTGCATTTACATAAGAAATGTGAAATCGATTAAAGGGGAGTCATTAAATAAAATTAATCAGAGCTGGAGATAGGATTTCCATGCTCAATATACCCATATAATTTCTACTGAAGTGTGTTGAGCTCGATAACTACATTAGTGTAAAGACAGGCAGTAATGCTTGTTTTTACAAGCTAAAGAACGGTTAACAGTGGAGTTCACAATCAACAACAATGCAACCATATGCTGATATATATATTATTTATTTATTTGAACACAAATATTGTTTTAAAGGGGCAACAAATAGATATGCGCCACATAAATCATTCGATTTGTGTGAGGGCTGGGATACTGCCCGGGTGCCTAGACCGAAGCAGATATATATATATATATATATATATATACGTTTATTTCTTATACAGCTAAGTGGTTTGGTAATGCGATTATTATTTACTGAGTCAGTCATAACGTAGAGCCTATCACCAAGTTACATTAATTTAACATTGGGAATGGGAAATCACTTATTGACGTTTGTCATTTCGTATTTGTATGCGTTGACTTCGCGTATAAACCTGTACGTGATTTTTTTTATACTTTTTTAATTGTTCTAAATTTAATCTCCTCGTTTATAATGGTAAATATTTAACTACTAATCACACTTTAAAAAGTAAGATTGGGGATTTCCTGGCATCTTTCTACATAACTGATTTGTTTTTTTTATAACGCCGGCTGTTAACTGGTGTTACTAAACAGCAAGTTAGGACATATTTTGTGATCAGAATCGCACCAAAGTCACTAGATGATATTGGGAAATTATTACAAGCATAATATACGAATATTGTTTTTTGGAGAGAAAATTTTTACGGAGATTATTTTAGGACAATCAATTTAAAGTGTGACTTACTGATAAATGTTTGGATAGCTTTTAAACGTTTTACTTCAAAAAGGTCACACAATGTCAATGCTAAACCAGCTTTCCCAGCCCGAGCAGTCCGGCCTACTCGGTGAACATAATCTTTAGGTCGAATAGGAACATTATGATTAATTACAATATCAACTGTTGGAAAATCAAGTCCACGGCTTGCCAGGTCTGTTGCAATCAGAACACGAATCTGACTAGAACGAAAAAGAGTCAACGAAGATATGCGGTTTTTCTGAGTCATAGAGGAGTGAAGTAAGGTTGTTTTAATACCTAGGCTAGTCATCATTAATCCAATAAGATGGCACCATTTACATTTATTTGTAAAAATCATAATAAGTGAATATGGATTCTCAGAAAGAAATTGATCGACAGTATGAACCAAAAATGCTTCTTTGTGTTCAGGGCGCATCAGAATATAATACTGACTTAAGGTCTCGACAGTTACGGCCCCTGTAGATGAACACGTAGTCATGCATTCAGGTTGCCATAAAATAGGAAGGCGCCTGTTTTCAGCGTTGGCTACTGACTTTGCAGCCTCTAAGGAAGACTTGACTGCACCACTGAATGTAGCGCTAAAAAGTAACGTTTGACGACGTTTCGGAAGTGCTTTCAATATAGTGTTCAAATCTTCACCAAAATTATCTTCCAACAGTCTATCTGCTTCGTCTAGAACCACCACTTTTGTTCTGGATAAGGTCCATTCTGGCTTATTCTCAGTATCAGCTTCTTGTGCGGCCATCTGGGTGCGCAAAAGATCAGCCAACCGTCCAGGAGTAGAAACGATAATATGTGGAGATCGAGCTAAGTCAATACTCTGATGAACTATGTTTCTTCCACCAGTTATCACCAATACGTTACATAGTGGTTCACCTTGGATTAAATTTAACCCAGCGGCTTGTTCACCAATTTGATGCGCCAACTCCCTAAAACAACAAAAACATGGATACGTTACATAAGTCAGTCAGATCTAGGAATGGTTAGTGAGATAAAACAACACTTTGCAGCCTGTTCAACTGATATATATGGTTATAAGCGTTCTCCTGCCAATCGGAAAAAAATGAAACTCAGTACTTGTCAACAAACAACCTTATTTTACAATTTAGTAACCATTAAAGCCCGTACATTGTAATAAGGCCTTGAAAAACACTTCACAAAAATACGCCCATAGCCTGTTGCACTTTATAGATTATATTTATTGATTACGGTTATCTTTGTAAAATTGCTAGATACAATAAGAAATGACTTTAAAAAACCTAGATCCATCGACGTGTGTTTGATTATATATCACAGTTCTATGGATGGGATCATTTTACAACACTAGCCATAATAGTATGTTGAGACAAATTTTATTCATGTACACCCGAACTGTTAAAGTGAGCACCACCAATTCAAACCTTGAAGGAGAAAGCACTTGACTTTCTACCATTGGATCTTCGGTCCGAAATTCACCTTAAATACCCTTATTTGGGCATTTGGGTATTATCATTATTTACACACAAAAATTGGTCCAAGGAGGGACCAAATGCATATGTGCCACATAAATCATTCGATTTGTGTGAGGGCCGGAATACTGCTCGGGTATTCAATCCGAAACAGGTGGTTTTCTTAGGTAGCCACACCCCGAGCCTCTGGTTTAGAGGTTTAATCCACAAGGCAGTGGAATAACGTCAGGATATGCAGCTCGATGGTATACGGTGACCAACAATAGTTTCATACGTTATTTGTCCCCTAAATATCATAAAGCTCATGTGCATCATTGGTTTTGAACCACGGTTTTTCAACTCCGCTAGGTGAATCCTCCATATTCACCGACCGGGTTAGAATGCCGGACATTCACTTTTAGTACTCTTAATTTCGTAAACAACACTGCCGCGAGAAGGCGGTGAGTAGGACTTCTCTGACAAATGCTGTGTACGCGTAGCCATGTGAGAGCATTTTGAGAGGGAGAGTGGATTCACCCTACCCTCGGCTGTACTAGGGCATTTCGTGGCACCTGGGTAGTAGCATCATCCCTCACAAAATTTGTGACTTGAATGTTAACTCAAGAATACTTCCTTCGAAGCTGGGTAGTATAAGAATTGCAATTTCCGTGGTAACTTCAGAGATATCCCACTTGTTGTTTGCAGGCCCATTTAAAATAACGATAGTAGTTTTGAATGGATGAATCTTAGAATGAAGTCACTAGCTTCTGGTCTGAGCCGTGTTGGAAGATACAGACTACTTGGTTAGGGTCAGCACGATTTATCGTAATCAATGGTTGAAGACTCTGGGTGACATGGTTCAGAATCAATCACAATGGCGTAGGTGTATACACTCTTTGTCTTCCCTTACATCGTGGGATTAAAATTGCTTTATACCCTTCTTTCTAACAACTAATTCTTTCTTCCTGTATTATATCTATATGCAATCTTTTATATATTATTACCATTGAAGTACTTTTATAAATTTGGTGTTCACCTCCTTGTGCTAATGAGGTGTGGCAAAGTGGACCAATGCACATATGTGCCTATTCCTACGTTATAGCTGACTGGTGTTCGTCAGGGCTGTCCACTCTCCCCATTCTTGTTCAACTTTGTCATTGACGTACTTTTAGAGATAACACTCTCCTCATCTAAATTTCCAGGGGTTGAACTTCTACCGGGAGGTTCACTTGTTGACTTAGAATATGCAGATGACATAGTTTTATTTGGTGAAGACGCTGACAAAATGCAGAGTCTTCTGACCACTCTAAGCAACAATGCAAGCATGTTCGGGATGCGATTCTCCCCCTCGAAATGCAAAATGTTGCTTCAGGATTGAGTTGCATTGACACCCGAACTAGTGATAGGGAGTGAAGTAGTTGAGCGTGACGACCGCTTCACTTATCTTGGAAGTCTCATCAGCCCTTGTGGTCTGGTGTGTGACGAAATCTCAGCACGGATACAGAAGGCTCGACTAGCTTTTGCCAACTTGCGTCATTTACGGCGTAGGCGAGATATCCGTCTATCAACCAAAGGACGTGTTTACTGCGCAACAGTTCGTCCCATCCTACTTTATGGCAGTGAAACATGGCCGGTAAGAGTAGAGGATATTCTTAGGTTACTAGTATTCGATCAAAGGTGTCTTCAAAACATTGCTCGTATATCATGGGACCATCGAGTATGTAACACAGTTGTTAGGACACGGGTACTAGGTAAGGATGGCAAATCAATTGATGAAGTAGTGAAACTTCATCAGTTGAGATGGCTGGGACACGTGTTACGTATGCCCAACGACCGACTGCCTCGATTTTCAATGGTATAGGAGTAGGTTGGAAGAAAGCTAGGGGCGGCCAGACCAAAACATGGCACAAATCCATGAAGTCACTGACAAGTGGACTGAGCCATGTTGGTAGGTGTAGACTACCTGGTTGGGGACCACGAGATGATAGCAACCGATGGTTAGAGACCCTGAATGACATGGCTCAAAATCGTTTGCAATGGCGCAGGTGTATCCACTCTGTGTTCTTCCAAATTCTAATCTTCTGAATTCTTCATGTCCCTTTTTTCCTCTTTCCAAATTTATTTCACTGGATTATACTCTTTAAATAACATCTCCAAACCCTAATCTTCCCGATTACTGCTTATACTCTTGCTACCTCTACCACTACGGGATTTGAATCGACAACTGCATCTCTGTGTTAAGGTGGTGTGGCAACTCGAACTGATGTACGTACGTACGAAGTTTTACGTTGTTATTGACTGAGCTGACTGATATTAGCATGCAGTAAATCATGGACGATATTTTAAACTAATTGGCGTGCGATTCATGAATGCTATTTTTCATATAGGGACTATCTGTTCTGATAGTCTCTTGTTATTACAATAGTAAGAGCCACAGATGATAAGGTCCTGTTAACTGTGGACAATTATCTCTGTAAGGCGAATTTGCGATATTTTAAAGTGCTCTAATGAAAGAAAAACGCTAATCCATGGATCACTTAAGGCATAATATGATGGAAAATACTGGTCAAATCAATTAAAAGACGTGGTATCATGAGTGCATCTGATGATGATGAATTTCGGAATCATTTATCTTAAATCCCACAATCACAATCTTATATTTTTTTCCGCCATATATCAAAGTTACCAGTCAATTGGTTCCATTTGAAAGAAACTATTATGGAACATTTTATTTTAGCTAAGAAAAATTCATTAACTTAACAAACTAAAGTTTGTCTAAAACGGAAAGCTCTGCTGACTAGTCAAGATACTCATGCATCATTCGAAAAAAGGTGTTAGCTAAATCCAAAAAACCATTATGTCAAAAAAATATAAACAAAAATTCTGGATAACCGGTACCTTGTTGGAGTAATTATTAGAGCATATAATGGTTTGAGTTCCGTCATTAGTGACTGAAGTATGGGGATCAAAAATGCCGCTGTTTTTCCAGAACCAGTTTTTGCACATGCTACTACATCGTTTCCTAAAACTGCATTAAGAAGCCACAGAAAAAACCTTCCAAAATTATTGGAATGCAGCCTTCTTGAACTTCCGTAGGTGTATTAATCCCTTTATCTCGTAGCAACTCAACAATTTCAGGACATACACCAAGTTTTTCAAAAGTCATTTAGATCCCAAAATCTTGTATTGCTCTGGTTAATGTAGATATCAATTCTAAGTATTAGGTTTCTAGGATCTGAAAGAAAATGAAAGCAAGAGCCATCAAACATGTAAACTGAGAATATACATAGATACTACAGATTTGAATATAAATTTGCAAGTCTTAATATATTGTAAACCTTTCTACAGTAAACGTTAAGTTAGCATACTTCAACCTGAGAAGCAGTAACGTCGTTGCAAAGTATTTTTAGCTGTGAGGTGTCGAATATTTGACTTTTTGGTGGTTTGAAATTCCGTTAAAACTAAATTTCTATAAATAACCAAAAGACAATTAACGCTGACAACCTTGGATGATTACAGATCATCTCTGACACATTGACCCTCAATGAAATTCTCTTGTGCGCACTGGAAGACTATTTTGGGTATTGCTGACAACCACAAAGTATTAGGTTCAAATTAACAACACGAATATAAATGATAATTACGGTCATTTAGTGTTTTTGAATAATTGATTAAGCATGATAAACTTCCCAAGTATGTTATCATGACATTACGTTTAGAATTATGTTGAGGTGAAACATACAAATATACGCCTACCTTCTGAAGCAAATTGAACATAATCATCCAAATAACAGTTGAACTGTCGTTTAACTATCATAAGACTGACAAATAATAAAGTTTCTAAATCGATCTGACGTTGATTTTTAGATATTATAGTACGCTTGTAGATAACTGTATGTAAGCGGTCGATTGTTTTATCGTACACGAATAAAACTAGTAAACTACGCACATATAATTAGAAATCAAAATCAGACGTGAAATGACCGAGTTACTTTTAATAGACAAAAAGGAAGACAAATTACCCATAATTCTCTCTGAATAGGATTTAGAAAAAGTGAGAACTCTCCTGAATAAACGACGTACTTGTGTTTGGTAGAAGTAAGTCATCTCGGGGAAGACGATCCGTATGAGGTGCAACTTAGAAGGAAAATCACAGAAAAAGTGACCTCAATAACACGAAATTAATAAAATGCAACTACCTTAACATTACCAACACTAATATAAGCCAACCAATATTTTTTGAAACCAGATGGGAAAATGTAAACGAAGTGGCAAAAAGGTGAGGATACTTGAGTTTTAGTTTAGGAGAAACTAGAGTGAATGGAACCATATACGAAAAACCATGTTTATTCTCGACAAGTTATAGTCCAGAAAGTCTACATGCTGCGTAAATTTGTACCAAGATATAAACATTTTAGAAAAATGTTTCCATGAAGGACATAAAAGAGAGAACATATAACCATTTTCCAAAAGTGGTGATTTCAATATGCTTTTCAACAGTTGTTTTTCATCTACATTAGGTTAGCTTAGTGTGAATAAAAAAACTCCGGAAAAATAGACAACGCAACGGTCTTTGGCTTAATGAACAGAGTAATTGTCTTGTAGCTAAATACCAAAGGACTTTTCCTTCATATACAATGCAACAACCTCTTGATACAATTTAACCACTAGTTTGTTGCTTCTTCTACTTTTTCAGACAACATTCTGATTAAGATGCAGATAATGCATTGAGCGTTCATTGGATATTAATATTAATATCCAATGATGATATATATCATCACCAAGATATTTAAAATAACTTAAGAATGAAATGTCTTATAAGTTGTTATCGTAATCAATGAATATCTCGCGATAGCGGTTCGCGCCTGTCCAGAAGGTACTTTGTGTGCTGGAGAAACACGCAGAGTAACGTGAGTGAGAAGGGCAAGAAAACAGAATAGAAGAAACGGTTCAAATGGTTGTGGATGGAATAGAAGAAGCTTTCGCTTAACAGGCTTCCGTGTCTAGTAGCAGGGGATCACCAAATCCTCCAGGCAGGAACCTAGATATGTTAACAATAAAAAAGGAAAAGAAATTGGTAAATCATAATGTGATGCTGTCCTTGGTCCTTAAGAATAGGTCAAGTTGCCTCTTGAAGGACTCCTGAGAAGTCGCTTGGACTAGCTCGGCCGGCAGCGAATTCCAGCTTTTGACAACTCTTAAGGAGTAGAAGTTGTGTCTACATTCCGTCTTGTTATGTTGTGTTTCCAGTTTCTGGGTGTTACCCCTTAGGTTATTATTCGAACTAAGCTTAAGTAGGTGTTTAAGAGGATGTCCAGAAGTGTTAAGAATACTATAAGCCATTAGTAAATCACCTCTAAGACGCCTATATTCTAGTGGGTAAAGGTCTAGTGAACGAAGGCGTTCTTCGTAAGGCTTAGATTTGAGTCCTCGAACTGCTTTCGTGGCTCGCCGTTGGATACGCTCCAAAGTGACCTTGTCCTTTTGGAGTGAGGGGGGGGAGTACTGTGTTTCCGTACTTTAAATGGGGACGGATGAAACGGTGAGTCAACGATCTAACAAGCGCACACAATAAACTTACATTTAATGATAAGAGTAGACGATAACAATCAACAATAACACAAACCTAAGATTACAACAATTTTGGGATAAAAACTAGAAACATAGTTCAACATGCTACACGACAAACCATTACACGTTGTAGCGTCAATTCTGAATCAACCACCATAGTTGTAAAATGTGTCAGAAGGTCGTAAATTCAAATGGTCCGAATAGTTGTAGACGGAACAAAAGAAGCTTTCGCTTAACGGGCCTCCGTGCCTAGTAGCAGTGGGTCACCAATAGCTCCAGGCAGGAACCTAAGTATATTGACGATAAAAGAGGGAAAAGTAATTGGTAACTCATAGTAAGATATTATCCCTATTACTTTGGAATATGCCACGTTTCCTCTTAAAGGACTCCTGGGAACTCGCTTAGACTAGCTGATCCGGTAGCGAATTCCAGCATTTGACAACTCTTAAGGAGTATAAGTTGTGTCTACAATCCGTTCTGCTGTGTTGTGTCTCCAGTTTCTGTATGTTACCCCTTAGGTTTGTGTTGGAGTTAAACTCAAGTTGATGTTTCAGGGGATGTCCAGAAGTGTTGAAGATGCTGTAAGCCATTAAAAGATCACCTCCAAGACGCACTCACCCCAATGACTAGAGGTTTAGTGATTGGAAGTGCTCTTTATAAGGCTTGAATTTGAGTCCTCAAACTGATTTCGTGGCTCGCCGTTGAAAAGGCTCCAGAGTGTCCTTATTCTTTTGCAGTGAAGGAGGAAATACTATGTTTCCATATTCTAAGTGGGGACAAATCAAACTGTGTAACGTTCTACCGTCGAACTGGCAAAAAATGCTCTTCAGTGTTATCAGTGAAAGGTTTGCTGGAAAGACTTCAAATCGTAGGGTACCAGCACACCTAAGTCTTTTTTAACTTGAGATACTTCCAAAGAGGAGTTGCCTAAGTTGCAACTGTAGTCTGCAGCATGTCTCAGATAGACAACTTCACACTTTGAAGTGTTAAAGCTAAGTCCATTGTCATCTGTCCAACTCTGAAGTCAACTCAGATCCTCAACAAGTGCCAGTATATCCTCTTGGTTTCGTATCTTTTTCCAAAGTTTCGCATTATCAGCAAAAAGGAATAAGTCAGAGGACACCTGTTGTGAAAGATCGTTTATATAAACCAAGGGAAGGAGAGATCCTAGTACTGAACTCAGGGGACCACACTAGGACAGTCCATAGCCCGAGAGAATGTGAAGTTAACCCTGGCCTCAAAATGTCGACTTTTTAGATATGAAGTGAGCCAATTAATTCAAGATGATTTAATACCCAATCGTTTGAGCTCATTGATAAGACATATATGGTTGTCCCTATCAAAGCTTTTGAGAAGTCAAGGTAGATGACGTCAACCTTCCCTTTGCCGTCAAGGATGGTTGTCCATCTGTCCACCGCAGTCAGCAGTTTCGTTATACAAGAATGACCATTCCTGAAACTATGCTGTTGAGTGAAAAGAATGTTAAGGACAATAAATGGTAGTGTATACCGTGCCATATCAGGGACTTCATAATTTTTGAAGGTATACAGAGAAGAGCCACGGGCCAGTAAACTGAAGGTTCGCTGCGTCGACCTCCTTTGAAGTTTGGCGTCTAAGATGGGATGTAAGCCTTGGCTTTGCAGGTTTTCGTACCTGGTACTAAATTATAATTGATGCTTTCAGGTATGAACCTAACCACAGTTGGAGGAACAAAGCGAAAAATGAGTGATGAAATACTATCCTGAGTCTCTAGGGGTATTCTGTGTTCTTTTAGAAGGACTCTCAAAAATTTACTTCAACCACCTCCACCAGTAGGAAGTTTTCTATTATCTTTCTCTGGTTTCTGGGCACTGCAACTATCAGTTGCCTCGGGACTGAGCCTATGTAAGTATTTTAGGTGATGCTCAGTAATGTCTATAATGCTTTAGGAAATTAAAAGTTCACGTCAGTGACGCCTATACTCTAATGTGTTAGGATGTGTAGAACTATGGTCTACTATGATATTAATACTGCTCTAATAATAGACCTAATCCTCAATTTGTAGATTTGTCATGATATAACTGCCTAATCTATAAGATCTTACGTGGAAGTCACACCATCGACTACACCAACTCACTGTATCGTATCAATTACCAATACATGATGTAGAACAAGGTTAGGCTAGAGAGAGAACAATATATTTAATATGAATAGAAGATATAAGGTGACATTCAGCAGAGACCACGCCTGCATGGCCGAGCCATGCCACTCGACCAACTCTAGTCCATTCAATTCATTGTTCGTGCCTTCTCCATTGTTAGGTATTTCTCCGCGTTAAATATTGAATATCTATTTTCTGAGTAGTCTCGTGTTCACAGCTTTGTGGATTGTGTGGCTATTGTCCAATGCCACTACAGATCCACTGACGTCAGAATGTCTTGATGAAGTTTGATTTCATAAATTGGTTTCGTAGCTCGCGGTTGGATGCGTTTCAATATATTCTTATCCTTTCCGAGTAAAAGGAAAACACAACATTTCCATAATATGAAAAAATTACTTTTGGACTTGAAAAAAAACGATTTTCAGCGTTACCAGTGCAAGGTTTTCTCGAAAGGCATTTTTCTCTCTGTTAGCTTAAGATTATGGACCACAGGGCACCAACACTTTTAGATCCTTTTTAACTTCGGAAGTCCCATGAAGAGGGTTGTAAATGTAGTCCACAACATATCACAGATGATCTACTTCACACTTTGAAGTGTCGGAAGTAAGTCAGTTGTTGTCCGCTCAATGTTAAAGTCGAGCCACATCTTCCCGAATTGCTAGATGAATATACTAGTTGCAAACATCTCTCCAGAGTTTCACATCACCAGCGAAAACAGATAAATCGGATAATACTTTGTGAAAAATCTCGTTTATTGAAATCAAGAAAAGAAGAGGTCCTGGGACTGGGCTCTGAGGGACCCCACTTGGACATCCCGTAGTCTGAAAAAAAGTGAAGTTTTCACTGAGCTCAATAGGTCGATTATTTAAATGCGAAGTGAGCTAATCAATAAATGGTGGCTTGATGCACAATCGTTTGGGCTTATTGATTAAACGTATATGATTGATCTATCAATAGCTTCTCAGAAGTAAAGAAATAGGACCTCAACCCTCTCCTTGCTATCAGTGATGGTTGTTCATCTGTCGACTGTGGTCATCGGGTTGATTATACAAAAATAAACCACCCTTGAAACCGTTCTACTGGAGTGAACAGAGGCTTATAGATAGTTAGTGGTCATGCAGACCGTTGCATTCCAATGACTTCATGATTTCTGAGGGTACTGAGAAAAGTTTTATTGGCCGGTGGCCTGGAAGTTAGCTGAGTCAACCGGTTTAAAAAATTAGCGTGATGTGAACCAGCTTCTAATTTTCTGTCACTGGAGCTCAGCTTGGTGAATATGAAAACATTACACTAATCCGTTTAGCCAAGATTGAAGCTGCTTCTCTCAGTCTGGCAGGATGAAAAATATCCGAGATGTGAGAAACATCTTCGTTTAGATGCCGTGGTTTCCGACACATCAATCTAATGCTTAGGCTAACTTCTTAGACCCCTCTTAGGTTTCAGATGACACTTTCGTCGACGTACGTTGTATGTGACGATTGAAATGTTTGAAACCAATATCTTGCCAGTAGCTGAGCGGCATCACCACTGTTGTCTGTTGGACCATTGGGACCTAACAACTGGGAAACTCCAGCTTTGTCGATGCAAGGCTCCATGACAAATAAGCTTTTTGGTTTGGAGACAAATCTATCGATGCTATCTATCTATCTACCTATCTATCTATTTAATATTGAAGCCTGTCTTCTCTTATCGCCATTGAGCATTTATTTATTGCTTGTATAAACTATCAATATTTGTTGTCATTAGTTCGCTTGCAATCCGACTAGTGAGACCTTTCAAGTCTCACCGTTTGAAGAGCGTATCTCCTTATGACTGCGAGTTTTGTGTAACTTTTGAGGGATTGCATATGGAACTGAGTGGTTTGTGTCAAGTAAGATAGTGTGCATTATGAAATCCATGCCGAATCCACCTTCTGTATATCAAACCTTGAAGTTGACATAGATAGCTTCTTCAAATTCCAAATCTTGCTACTGTTTTAGCCTAGTTTTATCAACGAAACTGAAGGTCATGATCGCTTTTTCTCAATGGGCTCAGATCTGAAAATTATCGATTAGTAGTTCTTCGTCTAATAGTCCTAGTTCTTGAATAAAGTAAAGGTACCGAGCTTCAGTAGAACCATATTTTCTATTTTAGTGTTTCCAGCGAAATTGGTTTTTGGGTGATTGAAATATTTAGCGTGAAGGCAGGAGCGTTTTCGAAACGAACAGATAGCGTTTATCACTGCAGTATACGACTATCGACCTCGGTATCAGCAATAGGCTTATTGTAGATATCTTCAACTAGATATTCTGAGATATTAGACAACCTCACTGAGCACCATACAGGTTAGTCAAGATTGATAGATTCCTAAGTATTTATTTTATGTGCTTCCAGACAGGATCGTAATTATAGGACTGCCCCACCTATCAATCCAGCATTTCTGTTTTTACGAAACAATACATACCATGTATTGCTAGCCTTTTGCTCGTGGTTTGATATCTTCATGCTTGAGATATTCCTATCAAATGAGTATATGAAACGCATGTATGTCCCTGTTCTGTTTGGTTGAATGAGCCCCAATCAAATAAACAGGAAAACCTACCCACTCAGGGTTTTCGACATACGTATTTACTGCAGCCGCAACTTATTTTTTCCGCGAATGACAGCCCACAAGTGGAAGTCAGTTTCAGCCCACTTTTGTGATTGATCTTTGCACCATGTATTCTGTTTAAATGCGAATGGATTCCAGCTGTGAACCGATGTCTGTTGGCATGAAAAGTTTCTAGATTGGTGGCCGCAATTAAGGAAAACGTGGAGATTGACTTTATTAGTCAGGGTCTAGAATTCTTTACTTCTTGCCCAATCGTACTATTTGTTGGGTCCATGTATTCTTGAGGTCCTGAGGCAGCTTTATGAACTTCTATTCCTGAATATCATAGACTGACAAGTCAGGTTATGTGTTCTGGTATACCTTCCAGAATAACGTTCCTTCTATCAGAGAATGTCTCCCAAGATTCCTTCGAGATGTCACCGAAGAGACTGCT